GAAAAAAATCATTTTGGATTAAAATTCGCAAGTTGTCTATCTAAAATTTGAGGAAATAAATTTTTGATAGTAAAATTATAAAAAATAATTTCCTAAAAAATTCTTGTGCTAAAAAACTATTCTTAGTTGAAATAAATTTTCCTTGACTTAAGCTTCTGTCTTTTGCTGAATGAAATTTTTTTATCACTATAGACAGATAAATCTATAAACATGCCTTCACACCATTCGAGAGGACTATACACCTCCCTTATCTATTATTTATATCTCTCTTATCTATTTATTAAGCAATAGACAAATGTTTTATTCAAAGATGTAAATTCATAAGACTATACACCGTATGCATGGAATTTAATTTATTCAAAATTTTGGATGTCCTCCAATTAAACTGTACTTAGGACCGTGTGTTTATTATTCATGTAATTTGTGAGTGTCAATTATTTACTATTTTTCCCTCGATTGGATAAAATTGTTGATTGTTCGAGGTTTATCAGGTGGGAAGGTAAACCTCTGAAGGGGTTACCCACCGAGTGAAGTTGTTGTTGGCAAAATAGGCAGTCGCTGGATAAAAGGGGTGGTTTTTTGTGGACAGTAGATCGTTCTGACGAAGTAAGCTTACCAAGGGATCTGGACTTTGGTTGACCGTAGGTTTCAACCGTAGATTTTCATCAAATTGTATACAATTTTGATAAAAGAAAGAAGAGTTTACTAAAATTAATGAAAATGTTTTTGAACAGAAAGTGAGACTATCACGGGACGATAAGAGATTTCTGGAAGAATTAAAATAATTATCAGCTGAAAAAAAATAATTTTTTTACACGTTAGTTTATCCTTATAATTAAAAAAAACGTAGGAGTTTTAGTACATCAATGGTTAATAGATTTTAAGACAAAGCTTCGTATTACTGAGTATGGAGGATTGAGCATTATGGATGACGGGTTATTGATTCGACTACTGATGGACCGTATTGTGGATTATTTAGCTTTGGTTGGTGGTAATGCAGTTATTATCGGGTGAAATGGAAATAAAGTTGCTGGGGATATTGATTATTCGCACTGCTGGTTTTGGGATTTATCTTTTGGCTAATGGTTTGAGGTACAGACAATGAGTAATAGAGGGAATTATGTTTGTAAACCACGGTGGTTATTAATCAAAATATCTTTGTGGGGCTGGAATACTATCGAAGGGTGTAAAGTGAATTTTATTTGTTATTTATGGTGAGATAATTCTTTAAAAAATAAGAATTTGCATTTATTTAGAATTTTTTGAAAATATTTTTACCAAAATAAATGAAATGTATCATTTTTTACTTTAGTTATTAATTATTATTATACTTAAACTTTTTTGACATTGGCATAATTTAATATAATAATTAAATTATTTATTATATTGATTAAAATAGTATTTATCGTCAATTGATAATTATTTATAATAAATAATTTATTATCTAATGTATTTTAATATTTAACGCATAAATTTTTTACTTAAAAAAATTCTTTGTTTGAAATTAAATGAAGAAATTTAAAAGGTGTAAAAAAATAAATGTTTTGAGTTTTAGACACTTTTAAATTGGGATTGAAAAGATTTCTTAGAAGCTTCTTGAATTTTAAAAATTAAGATAATAGTTTTTAATTAGTATTAAAAGTATTAATTAAACTTACTTGTTGTGTAATAAACATCTCCAATAAATATATTTTGATCATCTATAGTTTCATTTTATTGCGTTTCATAATGTCTTCAAATATTAATTATTCTTCACAAATTTTTTTAAATTTGTTATTTGATACCTGAAAAATAAAACAGTTATTAAAAGAATAAAAAATTTCTAATGATTTGTCGATACTTTTAACTATATCATAATTTAGATAGCTCGGGTACTTTTGAAATAAATTAAAAAAATAATTCAAAATTTCTTCAAAAACTTGACATTAAAAAAATTGACAATCACTAAAAAAATATATAAAATTTAAAAAAGACACAAATTCACATTTATACTTTTCTGATAATGTAAAAAATTTTACTATAAAAATCATTTTTAAAATAAAAGTGATCATAGCAAAATTTTTCTACACTTATAAGCCTAAATACAAAAAATAAAATTTAATTTAGAGCGAAATTCAATTAAAACTTCACCAAAAATTCATAATAAATTAACTATCACTAAAAATCATATAAAACTTTTAAAAGACACAAATTAAATAAAAAATTTTATCAATATTCCTAAATATAATTAAAAACACTATTTTATCAGAAAAGTGCACCGAAAACAAAATTTTGCCTATTCTTTTTGATATAAATCTTAAAAATTATTGTCAAAATCAGCTATTAGTGTTGTAAAGTCACAATTTCTAACTTTATCAAGCTTTCAAAGACACTTAATAAAATTTGACCAGTCCGATTGACATCTTAAATGCAAGTGAGGTCATAACACCCCACCACAACGATCAAACGCTGTCCCCGCTTTCTTCAGAAGCTATAAAATAATATACCAAAATATAAATTCGCATAATATTCCGAGTTTTGCGCGCAGTTCAAAGTAAATTTTGTTTGCAACGCAAACTTCTCAAGAAAGTGGATGAATAATAAAGAGCTTTGCATCACGCATCAAGTTTCAAACTTTTGTTGTAGTTTCTATATTCAAGCGATGGACAATGGACAAAAGACAATAGACAAACATGAACTTTGTAAACAATAATCGATTCTTTCTGATACTTTGTATTTTCAAAAAATTTTCTGCGAAACATTTACTACAGAACAAACTTATAGAAGCTCGCGTGTTTTCAAAAGTTTGCTATTTGCTTAGAGATAGGAAACTTTCTCCTGTGTAAAACTTAGAAAAGCGCATTGACAATGACGTGGTCTGTAGATTAATTCGCAGGTTGACAAAGAACAACTTTGCAGATATTGCAGGTATACAATAAGGCGTTGCGTGATTTCTAAGGCTATAGATACTCGTAACTTTATTGTTTATTGTCTATAGAAATTATATATTCATCGCTCGCGTGTACTTGGGGGATCATGCGTCATGTTTGTAGTTTTCTTTATGCTCACTAAGTTTTTTTTTTATTCCTGTTAATTATTTTTTGAACAGGTGACGAGCGATCAAGAAGAATAATCGTCGGACAAGAACGTTTTACTCTTGACACGCAACGGTGGAATGAACTTTGCCAGCCGAAGATAAACATAATTAAAAAATGATGCTTTTCAGGTTACTACGCAAGAAGAAAAAATTCTTGACTCGAGGCTATACACACAAAAAACAAATTTTTTGCGCCAAGAAAATTTTAAAGAAAACGAAAATTATTTTTGAGCAAGAAATAATTTTCTTGGCTCAAGAAAGAGCAAAAGTTTTTTGAATAAAGTCTAATTTTTTTAAGCTAAGAAAATTTATTCTTGCTTTATTTTTTTAATAAATACAATGAATTAGTAAAATTTCACATTTTTCGGGTTATTTTGGATATTGTAATAAATCAAGAACAATATTTATGAGTTTTTGAAAAAAATAAAGAAATTAGACTATCCAAAATCGTAAAATTATGATATAATTAAGTAATTTTAAAAAGTTTGATTCTAAAATCCAAAGATAAGCGAAATTTATTCAAGATTCTTTTACTACGCATTAAAAAATAAGGAATTAATAATAACTCCTTTTGTTTTTACTAAAAATTCAAATCTTTTGATTTGGAAATACCTTGTATAGAGTATTAAAAATTCATTGTAGGTCCATTTAATTTTTTTTTTAACAACATTCATCAATTTGAAAAATTAAAGTACCTTGTGTGTAATTTTAGAAAAAAATTAAATTGAAAAATTTTGAAGAAATACTCATGCTGATGTTTCTGTTTTCTACATGACTGATATTTAAAAATATTTAGAATAATTTTTTTCTTATGATTTTTTGTTTTCTTTTCGGTGCACTATTTTTAAGTACATTAAAGTATTATTGTTTTTTACTTCCATTTTTGTAGTATTTTATAAATATGTAATAAGATATTGTAAAAGAACGTTAAATGTATACTCTAGAGACCCTGTTATTGGCCATTGCTGTTGGGTCTTTATGTAAAGAAAATAAAATAAAAAATATTTAAATATTAAAGAAAAAAAACAATATTTTTTTTACAAAATTGCAGAGTATTCTAATTCTTTTCTAACTACAAGGTATTTTATTAAAATAATGACAAAATATAAAAAATAACTAAAATTTTGTTTGAATAAATACAAAAGTTTTATGTAGTACATACCATTGTTTTTTTTTTTTTATCAATGAACACATTGAAACTTCAAACGATTAATAATAAATTCCGAGATGTGATTAATCAAAAATAATATTTTATCTGCTTCAAAACAATATCCAAGCGATCCGTCAATCATTTTGAGCACTATTAATTTATCATTTTTTGAATCCATCATTCACTCAAAATTTGGATTATAATTTTTTTTTCTTATTCAAAAAATTCTATTTTGTTCAATTTGTTTAAATCTTACTAATTAACTTTCATTATTTAAAAAATTTGTTAAATTTTAAATATTGTCAATAAAACATTTCAAAAATTGATATTTTAACGAAGTAATTTATTTCTTTAATGCAACTATATAAGCTCTGACATAAGTCGATACTCGACTGACTGAGTATTCTGAAAAAAAAAAAATTCGCGGACCTCCTCGCGGTCTTACTTCGCGTGTTAAAAGTAACATTGCAAAAAATTAAAGTTGATGAATAATAAAAGTTATGCTATAAATACTTAACAAGTCCTATCGTGTTATAATTTTACACCTTCGTACAATTTCCTTTCTTCAATCATTACATTCTCGATATTAGTTATAACAACTCATAATATAATATAATAATAATAATAAAATTTTATTCTTAATTCTACACAATGGATCCCAGTGTAATACAAAAAAATTAATAAAATAAATTAGTAATTAAAACAAAAATTAATAAATCTTATTTCCATTAGGAGAAATTATCAGAAGACAAAATTTTATTGAACAAAATAATTTGGGTGATTGAATTATTGGGAAGTTGGCCTCTAAACAGAACAATTAAACAGACAGTGTTATTTATCGGAGCTATTACTTACTACGTGATCCATCTGTCAATGTCGTGCACTGCCTTGATAAATGTTCTGGGAAGCCTCGAACTAATGACAGCGAATCTGATGGAGACCACGGTGCAAATTATATCATTGATTAGGTTGATATATTTAAAGCTCTCTCCCAGTGTTAAAGAATCGATTATTAGCATTCAGCAAACTTTAGACACTCAAAAGTGTGATAATACTTCAGAGGAAAAAATTTACGGTTATTATTTGTCTATTGCTAAAAGGTATTACTCAGTACTGATGACTTTTTCGGCAACTACGTCTTTTATGTTCTATTTGAGGCCTCTTCCTGAATGCTTTTTAGCTTGTAAGTAATAATTATTATTTATGTATTATTCTTCAAGATGATTTTTGTTGTACGGCTTAATTTTTTTTTAATTATTTTATAAAGATAAAAAATTACAATATTATTTTAAAGTTTATGTTTTTCTTGCTATTAACAAAATATTTAAAAAAATTAACTAAAAAAAAAATTTAATTAAAACATTAAAAAAAGTATTATTGAAAAAATAAAAAAAAAAAAGAATTTTTCACTAAAAAAAATTTTTCTTTTTAATTATTAAAAAAAAAGTTTTATTTATTTAAATTTACAAAAAAAAATTTTTTTCTCTAAAAATATTGTTTATTTTGATCAAACAAAAAATTTTTTTTGGTTCAAAAAATTTCCTATTTAATTTTAAAAAACCTCTTTAAAAAAATTAATTGCGTCAAAATCAAAATTTTTTTCTCTTAAAACAATTTAATATTCTTATCAGTGAATTTAATTTTAACAATATCTTTCTGTCTAAAATCAAAAGGGCTCAACAATCAACCAGTTGTTTTAAAACCACCGTACGAAATAATTTACGTTTGCTTCAACCTAACTTCTATCGAACAAGTAATTATCGCCTACATTTACCAAGCACCGATGTCTTTTCTCCCATTGGGGTACATCGCAATAATCAATCTAAAATTGCTCATTATTACAAATATTTGTTCGCAACTGGGCGTACTTTCTTACAGGATCAGAAATTTGAGAACTATCGGAAATGATAAAATATTCGGTAGCATCGTAAGGAATCACTTAAAACTTTGGAGGTGAGCTTTTTTTGTCTTAAATTAATTTATTTAATTTTTATAACTGATCTGTATTTTTTTTTTTTTTTTTTTTTTTTTATTAAGGTCAAAGGCCCAATAGATGAACATATACTGGTACATGATCATCTATTGGTGCTTTTACCTTATTGAGAGGATTATAAATTATAAATAATTATTGCAATCACAATTAGGTTGGTGAAAAATATTGACAACGCTTGGACATTGATTTTCTGTTTTGAACTGATGTTGTCAACTCTTTTGTGTTCTTTCGTTTCTTATGGTGCATTATTGGTATGTTTTTAAAATTGTAATCTTAGATCCGAATGAAATATTTTTAAAAAATATTTCCCAGGCGATTACTGTCGGGGAATCAGTAGTGACGGTGAGCTTGATTACTTATGTTATTTCTTCTCTGTTGATTTTGTTTTCTAATTGTCTGATGGGAGAGATGCTCAAGTTCGAAGTAAGTTTTTCATCCAACATTAATTACAAATGTTAAAAACTTTTTATCCAACAAAATTATTTTTGAGAAATCCGGTTGAATTAATTCAAAAATTTTTTAAGGTAAAAGACCCCATTAGTGGCATCTCCAAACTCTATTAGTGGCACTTTTTCTTTCAATGAAAAAATGTTCTATTTGGAATAAAATTGAAATTTTTTTTGATCTAAAGGTCTTAAAGATTAGAAATAATATATTCATAATAGAAATTAATGATTTCATTAATTGAATAAGTACCAAAATCAAAGAAAGTGTCAGTAATGGGATCCCTGCCATTAATAGGGTCTTTAACCCTATTCTATAATAATTTGTGTTGTTTTTTAAGAGCGAAAATTTTGAAAATGCACTCTACTGCCTCGAATGGTACGACATGTCAATTAGTAATAAGCGCGCCTTATTAATTTGTATGACCAGGGCTTTGTTTCCACTGCAATTGACCGCTGGAAAATTTTATATTTATTCATTCAATGTCTACACTCAGGTAATTTTATTTTTTACAGAATAAAAATTCTTTTGAAGTATCAAGTATTAAATTAAATTAATACATGAATCGGAGGTATATTAATTATTAAAAAAAAATTTTACTCACGTAGTGTGAAGAATGCAATTTTATAAATGCAATTAAAACACTCTTGCAATTTTTAGTCACATTAAAACATTTAATTATTTCTGAAGAAATTTTACGTTGCTGGTTTTTTTATTGGCCTTTTTTTGTGAAAAAAAAAAGTTTTAATCGAACAAAATTTATGATTAAATTTTTAAAAATGATATTTTTTTTTTTAAATTGAATTAATTTTTTTTTTTGAACGTATTAATACCAAGAATATATATTTGATAGTTTGTAGAAAATAATTCAATTAGTAAAAAAAAAAAAAGTATTTTATTTTAATTAACTTGTAAATATTATTTTCAGATCGTAAAATTTGCAATGGGAGTTGTTTCTTTGTTTCGAACATTATCAGTATAAAGTCTGAAGCTCATTTTGAATCATCAATGTAGTTAGAATAAAAAAAAAAAACTAGTTACACTTTTAAATAATAATTATTTTAAAAATAATTTTTATTTAGTTATCAAAATTATGGTTACCTTTTTTTTTTTTGTTAAAAATTAATAACTTTTTTTAACACAAAAATAATTGTATTTAATTTTTAAAAACTAAAGCACAATAAAAAATTTTAAATTCATAAAAAATTATAAATATAAAAAGATTCGAAGATATATAAACATTTGAATCGTCCGCTTTTGACAAATGGAAAAAAAAGACTGAATGTCATTTTTCAAGAAGTATCAACCGAACCCCCCCTTTTTTTTTTCTAAGTAAAACTTAGAGCTTAAACTTCTAATAATCGATCGCCCGAACTTTTATAAAAGCAATTTTAAGTTTGTGAATCAATAAAAACGCACGCATTATTAATGCGTGTACTCATATGGGGAAAAAAAGTATCAGGAGCCGACATTAGCTTTAAAACTTTTCAGGAATAAAGAAGAAACTACAAACGATGGATCCGAGAGTTGAAGTATGTTCTTATTGAACTTGCGATAAAAATTTGATAAATATGATTTTTGCTTCAGGAAAAATTTGGAGAAGTTAAAGTGTTAGTTGACAAAATCGCGTGGTTCATAAATGTTTTGGGAGGTTGGCCAATTCAGCCCTCGCTACAACACCGATTATTATTTTACCTTTACTTGGTGTATCATCATATTTATTTATCAATGTCGTACAACGACTTGTTGATGGTTTTTAGGAATTTAGATCTTATGACGGCAAATCTGACTACTACTGCCATCCAGACGATTGTTTTGATTCGTATGATTTATATTAAATATTCAAAAAACATAAGCAAAATAATAATGACGGTAAATGATAAAATAATTGAGAAAAATGACTACGATTCAGCGGAAAAAAAAATTTTTCTCGAGTATTATTCAATTGCGAGAAAATACCACGTAGTAACAATTATTTTTTCGGTTGTTGGGGGCTTCAGCTGGTGGTTATTGCCTCTACAAACTTATTTACTTGCTCGTAAGTATTATCATTGTTAATTTATTGGTAAAATAATATTATTATTACACGGAAAGAAAAATATGGAAATCATTCCTATAATTTTAATGAAATATTTTCCTATACCATTTTAGGAGCGATTACTTAAATCATGGGAATTATACCCATAATTTTTGGGAAACGTTACTATAATTATGGGAATGGTTCCTATAATTATAGGAACGATA